GTTCATGTTGAGAAATAATTAACCCTATCCTGTTAAATTTATATCAAGTTTGAGTCGTATTTTCATATTATATCGGATATTGCCATCCCTACCACCACCCATCCTATTTCTCCGCCGCCACCACAGGCTCACTCACAATTGCACATTATCTACACGTACTTCACAGCTTGCCTATGACACCACCAAATCTGTAAAACCCATGACACCATCACCGCGATAACCCACAACATGCACATCGAGATGCAAGGGTTTGTCGGCTGACTCGGCTTGGATGTGCTAGATTAAGTCGGAGACACAGGGTTGTCGCCTTCGCGCTTATTGTACTGCATGAAGTTGGAAAGGCGGGATTACATCGTCAAACTATTTACGAATCTTTAACAAAAGACAAACATTAGGGGCATATGTTATCGACAACCAAAGTAAATGAGAGTATAATGTAAGACGACTTGTCTTTATATGAGATACGTGCAGTGATTCTTGAAATTATGTAAGACTTGTTTTGTGTCGTGATTCTGAATAGATCTTTAAGAATGACAAAAGTAATATTTAGGAGAAACAAGTATAATCGAGGTGGGGACCATTTTTTTTACAGAGTAATACTATGGAGATCTAAAAATGATATAATTTATTAACATAATAATGTAATAAATGATAAAATTTTAACGAAAAAATTCAAATGTTATAATTATAATTACACTATTGAACCACGTGCGTTATAATTAAGACGAGTTTTATTCCTGAGATGGGTCTTCTTAATCTGTTTTTGACCGAGTCCTCTTGCCTAAGCTGAACTGACTACAATTTACCTGTATCAATTGCCCCCTACTACTTCCTTCGGTAGAGATCCTTTATTTGCTAGTAATTAAATTTAATTTTTTTTTTGGGGGGGAAGTATAATTAAATAAGTTGATAGACAGCTTTACCCAAAAAAAAAAAAAAGTTTTCTACCTCTTTCTCCGAAAAATTGAGTCCCCATGCATTGAACTCAAATGTATGCACAAAAGAATAAAAAAAAAAATAGTGGAATATTCACAACTTGTATGTATATCTAATGAAAAAATGAACCAATTCTGTGTGCTGATTGTTGAAACAAATTGACCTCCCACCAAACAAGATGACACTCATAGGGGCGGACTGCGTGGCTAGAATTTATCCCCAGTGTGAAAAACCCTCGTGTTGGTCGAAAAATGACCACAAAAATTCATCGTAGTTTGCAAACAAATGGTTAGTGGTCTCCTCAGAAGTCGAATTTATATGGGTGATCCAAATCAAAACGTGATTAGAATACACGGTTCTAAATCCGACTTGATTTTTCAATGAATTTCTTTTTTGCAGTCTATATACAAATTCATTAAATACTAAAAATACGATTGAAAATCTTATTTGATCCGTGATTCAATGTGAGTTGATTTTTTATAAATTACATCGTCATTTAAAGTCAATAGCACCAAATAACTACTCAATTTCATTATATATTTGATGTACATATGTATAGATTGAATCTGATTGGATCAAATTCACATCAAATTTTGGTATATTTAAATTAAAATTCGTGAAATATGATATAAACATATTCGAACATTAATAAGCAGTCAAAAACATTAATTAATATATTACTAATATGTCGAATTCGAAGGAGGATTGAGTCAGTAACTTGGTTTGTTCTTGCAGAGGAAAGAGAGAAAAGCAGAGACTAAAAAGACAGTTGTGGGATTTAGTGTAATTCTTTTACAAATTAAAAATTAAGATTAAAACTTTACTCATGGTCACAACAATTTTGGCCGTCCCATTGTCAGCTTCTGAGCATGAGGATAAGGCTACATGGGAAGCCTCCACTTCTGGGCATTACTCGGTGAAGAGTAAATACCACTTAGCTGTGAAGTTGAGTGACTCTCAGCGAGGTGCGTATGCGACTGTGGCTAGAGATCATACAAGTCGGTTTATTGCTCCTTCATCGGGAAAGATGTGTGTTGCCTCTGCATTGGCATCTGAAGCCTGGGCAATCTAGAAGGCGTGCTATTTAGCACTGACTGAAGGCTGGAGGCTTGTTATTTTTGAAAGTGACTCAAAAGCTCTCATTGATTCTTTGGTGTTGGGGCCTACGAAGTCATTGAGGGAGGTTGAACCACTTCAGCGTGATGCATGGATTCTGTCTTCCCAGCTCACTGTTGTTCATTTTCTTTTTGTCAACCGATCTGCTAATCATTTAGCTCACATGGTTGCTCATCTAACCAAATGTGAGAGTCTTCCTGTTGACTGGTTTTTGAATCCTCCATTTCATGCGCTACCACAGATCCAGAAGGATGTTCGTGTAGGCATAGGATAGTTCCTGTTGCTTATTTTGCAAGTCTGTTTTCTGAATGACCCAAAAAAAAAAGGATTGGACAAGATAACGCCAGCCCATCTTATCTCTCTTGTACCCATGTTTGGATATACATTTTAAGCTCAATATTATCACTTAAAAATAATACCGGCATGGATGAATAGTGCATTTAATACTACATACAACCTCTTAAATAAACTCACATTTTTTGTGGGTTTAAATAGTCCAATTGGGATGTATTTGGTCAAATGATATTTTTACCCTCAAATATCTCTAGGATATAAATATTACTCTTTATCTTGAGGGTCTTTTTTTTGGTAATTTAATATTTATACCATCATTTAATACTGTATCCAAACAAAGTATTGGATAGGATAAATGTGAGGCTGACTACTTCTTAATACTTGAACCAAACATGGGATGAAGAGACATTATCACCATATTTAATCTAAGGGTCGGATGGATGGGTAAAGGATGAACGCCATTATCTAATCTAGTCTTTCCTAATACTTTACACCAAACACACCATTAATTATTATAACCATGTCCGTAGGTCCCAGCATTTAATGTACTTTACTATCAAACCAATTGTAACAATGCATTAAATCCCCAAATTGTGTTCCTAAAGAGTAATGCTAGACAAACTTAAAATTTAGACTTAAAATACAAACTTGATGATGTGGTTGCTGATGTATACCAACCATGTCATTAGTTTCTTTCTCCAAAAAAAAAAAAAGATTTTAAACAAAGATCAGATTTTATTCTCTTCAGACCCAAACCTTCCCTCTTCCCTTTTCCCCCTGTTGCCTTCTCCCTTCCCTTTCACTAAACTAAACACCGCCAGCCATAATCAACAGCCATATGATTTCTTTATTAGCTCCTCCCTACCCCCTTTTTGTTTAAACAAAATTGAACCCAAAAAATCAGGTTTTCTCCATAGCCACATCTGAAGCCGAAGCCCTAACGTAACCCTCCCCTTCCGTATGCCAAAACTCGCCCATAGAACACGCCCAAGATGCCGCCAAAATTTCACAATTCCGGCAATCGACGCTGCCCACAAACATAGTCGTCTTTCAAGAGCTTCGATCAATATTTAGAGTAAACAATTGCTTCGATCAAGATTTAGAGTAAACAATTGTTTCCATCACGCTTCTCCTCCCCTCTTTACCTCTTCGTTGGAGTAGACAATCGTTTGAAGCCTTTGGAGTAAACAATTGCTTCAATCAAGATTTTTGTAAGTGTCCCCATCTCTTTTTTTTTTATCCTTTCTTGCTTTACTGTTACAACATATTGCTTTTTTGTTATGAATTTCTCAAGCCTAGAGTTTTTACTAATGATTAACTATGTCTATTGTTTTAGGATGTCTTAGATGTGAATTCATTGAAGAATTGATTTTCTTATAAGTTTATTGCATCAATATTCTATCCATTTATTTTTGTTGGTGATTTTGGATCATAAACATATTATTTTTCTTGTGATGTTCAAACATATATATTGTGTTTAAGAAATCTCTAATTAATCAAAGAGGCACTTGGTGGGGTTAATTTTTTTTTAGAATGGAAGAAGAATGTTCAAGTAGTTTGCAAATGATTGATAAAAATGTTGAGACTAAAATACAGAATGTGGTCTACATAGATGAGCCTAAGGTTGAGATGATGTTTGAAAGTGAAAAAGAGTTGTTTGACTACTCCACAGATTATGGCAAACGATTGGGGTTTCTAGTTAAGATAAGATCATCAGCAAAAGGAGATGATAGTGAGTTAAAATATTTGACAATTTGTTGTTCTTGATTAGGAAAGCTAGAGTGCAATTCCAAAAATTTTATCAAACCGTGTCCAAGCGTCAGAACAGGTTGTAACGCTAAGGTCCTAGCAACTTTATGTGCTGATAGAAAGTGGCAACTGAACACTGTCATGCTTGACCATAACCATGAGGTGAGTCCAAGCAAAGCTTGATTCTTTCGTTGCAATCGAGTGATGGGACCAAATGTAAAAAGGAAGCTTGAATTGAACGATAGGGCGGGGATTAAAATAAATAAAAATTTTAACTCATTTGTGGTTGAAGCAGAGGGGCATAATAATATCTCTTTTTTTAGAGAAGGATTGTAGAAACTACATTGACAAAATAAGGCATTTACGGTATGGGGAAGGAGACGTTTCTGCGATACATAATTACTTCTTAAAGATGTAAGATGAAAATGCAAAATTCTTTTATACAATGGATTTGGATGATGAGGATCGGTTAAGGAATGTGTTTTGGGCTGATACAAAGATTAGGGATGCAAATGAGGAATTTGGTGATGTTATGACGTTTGATTCAACATATTTGACAAATAAGTATGACATGCCCTTTGCTCCTTTTGTAGGTGTTAATCATCATGGGCAGTCAACTTTGTTTTAATGTGGTTTGATCTCCAGTGAAGATACATAAACTTTTAGTTAGTTATTTCAATCATGGTTTGCATGTATGTTTGGGAAAACTTCACATTCCATAATAATTGACTAGGATAGGGCCATGAAGAAAGCAGTTGAGAATGACTTCCCTAATGTTAGGCATCGGTGGTGCCTATGGCACACCATGAAGAAATTACCTGGAAAGTTGAGAGGTTATAAGCAGCATGAATCCATCAAATTTTTCTTGCAAAGAGCCGTTTATGATTCATTAAGTTGTACAGAATTTGAGGAAAGTTGGAATGGAATGATTGAGAAATACATGTTACATAACAATGATTGGTTGAGTGAACTGTACAGTGAGAGGTATCGTTGGGTGCCAATCTTTGTGAAAGATACTTTTTGGACAGAAATGTCTACCACATAACGAAGTGAGAGTATGAATTCATTCTTTGATGGGTATGTCAACTCTAAGACTACCTTAAAGCAATTCGTCAAACAATATGAAAATGCTTTGAAAAGTAAGGTGGAGAAGGAGAACGAGGAAGAATCTAAGTCTTTCTCTTCGCAAGTCCTTGTGTAACCACTATGACATGGAGAAACAAGTTCAAAAGGTTTAGTCCATCTCAAAATTTAAGGAGTTCCAAAGCGAATTGACAGGGAAGATGTACTATGATTTGACTTCGATCACAGTGGATGGCTTGATTTCTGAATATGACGTATGTGAGGATATCATGACTGAAAAGAAAAGAAGAGTGCAAATTTCAAGGTTTTGTTTAATGAAAAGGATTGTTAAGTGAAGTGAAGTGAAATTGTCACTTGTTTGAGTTTAGAGGAATATTGTGCAGGCATGCCATGGTAGTGTTAATCCGTAGAAAGATTTACTTACTTCTTGATAAATATATCGTACAGAGATGGAGGAAGGATATGATAAGATGTCACACGAAGATTAAAATTAGTTATGACTATTGGAGTGCCACACCTGAAGTACAACGATTAGATAAAATGTGCAATGCTTTTAATGAGGTTATAGACTTGGTAGTAGATTCTAAAGATAAGTGCACATTTGTGATGGATTGTATACATGATCTAAAGGATAAATTACAGAAATACAAATGTGGTTCTACAAGTTATGAACCAAGTCCCAACTCAACTATCGATGGAACCTTATGTGGTGATGTAAATGATATATCAAAGGAGAGGAATATACTTCATTGTCAGTTCGAAGCAAAGATTGTCCACCATTCAAAATGAAGCAATCAAAAGTGGAGCAAGTTGCTAGGAAAAAGAAAGAAAAGAAAAAAAAAAGACGGTATCGCATAGAAATTATACCACTAAATTAAAATTATTCACATTCTTTGTAACATTTATTATTTATTATTTAATTTATATTTTGTAGGATTCCCTCTCAACTAAAAGTGATGTCATTGGTCATATTGATGGTCAACCCACTAGTAAAGTGTTGACGTACTTGGAACACAAGAGAACATTGTTGTGGTGGTATGACATAACCATCATTTTTGAAATTGTAATATATTTTTTTAATGTATTGGTTAATTTCATACTTGGAATTAACTATAATGTAGGATTCGAAAACTATCCAAAGTGGTAATATTATTGAAAGTGATTGTCACTACTCCAATTGGCTTCTTTATAATGTAAGTTGTGAAAGTTTATTTGTAATTAATCTGTAGTAATTTTGTAGTAATCTGTTGTAATTTTTTTATGACAGAACAATTTGGCCTTATTATGGGGAGTCACTCAAAGAGGTAATTAAAACCAATCATATGGGATGGAAAACTATTTCATGGTTAGCAATCTGACATTAGTTTTAGAAATTCTATATCTTTTTTGTTGTTTATACTATAATGTCAATTTATGAAATTTTTTTTTTTTTTTTTTTGGTTTAGAATAACCAATATCATCTTTGGAATGGTGAATATGACATGCAACATATGTCTTCTTCTAGCTTAAAAGAAGTATAGTCAATCTAGAATTGACAATTCCGTCTTCAACATCACCGTCAAATGACAAGTAAATTTGGAAAGTTGAAAATAATTTTATAAAAAGTCTTTGTCATTTATTGAAGAGTTGAGTTTTTATTTTTTTTTCCTATGATAGGTATGTAAAGGAGGAACCCTTCGTCAAGATGTGCAAGACAAAGATTCTAGTATTTTGTGTCCTTGTATTATCCAAAATTGAGATGTTCTATTATTTTTGGATGTTTATGATTTTATAATAGGACTTAAGGGTTGGATTTTGCAGCGACAATTTTATTTTAAACAATTGTTCAATGAATTATTTATTTGGAATTCTTTTGTTTCAAACATGTGATCTTTGGCAAATAGAGCAGTTAAAGATGGTTTTTCTTTTAAGTTCACTAGCTCTGATCAGTTGTCTGTTGTTGTGAGTCAACGATTGGTTCAGGATCAGAGAGACTTATCTGTTCTGCGTACTAAGAGTACTCTAAATTTTTATGATCATGGTTAAAGAGCTAACTCTAGAGCTAGGTGTGTGTATCTAGTGTACCAGGGGAGGATTGGATAAGGCTGTAGGATTTGTTTGCTGTTGACTGCACTGGCTTTGATGAAGGCTTTTTGGATGGGCTTTCTAGAAGTGAGGTCTGCCTCACCAATATCAATGAAGGGGTTTTGTTTGGATGATTTGATTACAGAATAATCACAAGCTGGGTGGAGAGAGAGAGAGTTAAATAAAGTAGTTAAAAATGGCTCAAGTCCTTTTGAAGGATTAAAGCCGTTCTTTGTATTTCAATTTTTTCAAATGATGTTTCTTTGTATTTCAGACATGTTGTGGATTGATTATTGATAAGGGATTATGTTCCTTTCCTTTTACTTGATTTCTTATCTTCCATTCTATTGTTTATAACTAGTCTCTACAAGTAGCTTAACATTCAAAGACTACTTTAGTCGGCCATACAAAAAAGCTTTCAATTACATTTTTTTTTAAACAAATCAACACTTTATTTCATGAAAAAATAATTACAGTCATGAAAAAGACAGACAGGCCTGCCTATACAAACTCAAGCCAAAAAAAATTACAAGAATCAAACAATGACAATTTTCTTGCGCAAAACTTTGAATCCTTGTTGATCCCGAAGTAATATCTCCTTCGCCTATGAGGGAATGTCAAGCAAATTGGAAAAATCAATGGAACAACCTTGCTGCACAACCACATTAGCAAAGAAATCATCCATAAAGTTGGCCTTTCTATATACTTACCCAAACTGATACTGCAGCCTGCCTAATCTTTCCATAATCTGTCTATAAAGGTCCCAATATTTCCAAGCTCTCCAATGTCCATTTAATAACATGTTCACCATTACTTCTGAATCAGCTTCTATTTGAAGCTGATAATCTACTAGTCCATACCTTTCAATCAAACACAAATCATCTTTCATGGCTCTTAATTCAGCCTCCATGTTAGAACATTCCCCATAGAAGAATGATGCAACAAGGACTAGACCTCCCCAGTGATTTCTTACGACTGCCCCACCTCCTGCTCTTCCTGGATTTCCTTTTGAAACACCGTCAACATTCAGCTTCAAACAGTCCACCATAGGAGGAACCCAATTTACCCATAAAGCCTTAACCTAAATAGTACCACACAATTACATGGCCCCTCACTTGCAAGTTCAAAAGCACAAACTGAATAAGAATACATAGTAATTTTTTTTATTACTATTCCACTACCAAACTGAATAAGTTTACAGACAAAATACAATCTGAAATAAGTTCACAGAGGCAAAAGTTGTGTAATTGTCTCCCAAGTTGAATGAGTACACAAAATGTGTACAATTGACAAATAATTTCTTCTAAGGCAGTGACTGAATTGTGCATAACAAATCAACTTCACCGTCGTGTCCCGTTGATGAAGCATAACTGTCCAAAACCAAGCGACTTCTGCTAGAAAATTCATTGAACAACTTATAAATGCAATTCAATCCATCTTTCCCCTCCTTAATCAAGTGTAGATTCACTTTCACGTCAATGAATTCACACATAAGACATCCTAACACAATAAAAATAATTAATTAATCATCAGTAAAAAATTTGGGTTTGAGAAATATGAGTATGTTGTAACACTAAAGCAACAAAGAAAAAAAAACATATGGAGAGAAGTAAAAATGTATAGGCTCCCACAACTGTCACTGTCACTCCGGCGATTGCAAGTGTCTCTCCAGCAACTGTGATTTCGACGAACAAATGAATTGGGGAGTAGAATTGCTAGGGATCAGGGGAAAGGAGAGAAAAATCTGACTTTGTCCCTGCCCCGGTGTTAATCCATTGAAAGATGACTGTGTTCATGGCCAGCGTTGATTGTTGGAGTTGTGAAATTTCGCCGGCATTCTAGGCATGTTTTGTGGGCAAGTTTTGGCATAGGGAAGGGGAGGGTTACGTTAGGGCTTCGGCTTCAGATGTGGCTATGAAGAAAACCCAATTTTTTGGGTTCAATTTTTTTTTTAAACAGAAAAGGGGTAACAAGGAGCTTATAAAGAAATCCTATGGCCATTAATTGTGGCTGGTGGTGTTTGGCTTAGTAAAAGGGAAGGGAGAAGGCGAGAGGGAAGAGGGAATAGGTAAGGGTTGGGTCTGGAGAGAGTAAAATCTAATCTTTCTTTAAAATATATTTTTTCTAGGAAAGAAACTGATGACACATGGCTAGTACACATCAACAACCACATCATCAAGTCTGTATTTTATGTCTAAATTTTAAATATGTCTAGCATTACTTGTTCCTAAATTATGTTTTAATCGCATTAGTGCTCTCGCTCCGCCCCTTATAGTGATTAGCCATAAGATACACATTTTAATGCACTGTGCATGGACTATAGCTCATGCTTTTTTAATTTATTTTTATACTTGGATAGAGTTGGCAAAATTTGAATTCACGTAATTAATCCAAATAAAGATAATTTAAATAAAATAATAAAAAATAAGATTTTTAATGGTTTAACAGATAGTATGGCCTTTAGTAAAGCATAATAACAAAATATGATTCATATAGTTGACTTAAAAAACATTTGGACAAGGCTTGATTGAGTTGAAAGTTCACTTAAAGTTTTTATTTCTTTTTTTTCTTATTAGCTAAGACCTATCTCCCAGGTTGCATGTTCCATTAAAAAAAAAAGTGGGTTTCTATTTGAGTGTTGTTGCTTAAAATTTTGCTATTAGCTCTCTATATATTTTTCTATGAACAAAGGTGGATCAATTATTTACATTAATTGGAAAAATTTGGGAAAATAGAGAAAAAATACGTGTGATTTCATATAGTCAAATCTAATTGAAATCAAGTAGAGTCCAAATTTGACCCTAAACTGTTAGAATTTTAAAAATAAAAATAAAAAAACTCTTGGCTTAATTTTTCTTTTGCTAGTAGGAAGATGTAGTGTTACTTAATTGTATCTTAAGGAAAGATAGTAGGGTTTTTTGTCTTTTGCACGAGGAAGAAGGATGACCTCTTTGAAATTGCCGAAATTATTTCTTAAATTTATATTGGATAATTTTTTCAATAGTAACCCTAGATTGATTAGAAAATGAAATCAGAAATAAATAACAATTGATATAGTGTTGATGATATGGCAAAACTTTTAGTTCCACTTTTTTAAAAGAGAGAGACCACTAACGCCCTAAGATAGTGACTCCTCTATGGTCAATGATGATGCACAAATTGGTTTTATGCACCATTTGTCAAGTAATCAATGCAGTAAATAAATAAGAAGAGACAACACAAGCAAAATACAATTTAAGTGGTACGATCAAGATGATCTACTCTACTACAAAGGGCTAGGATGACTTGAGTATTTTATTGTTTCAAGGAGTGTTGGGTGCTCAAGTATGAGTAATAGGCAAGATACAAGATGTGAGATATGTCTCTCATGTGTAGGCGGGACTTACAATTTATAGGCGGCTCCTAACAGATTGAGGCGCCTTATCAGTAATATAAAGGTTGATTTGGTGGAGTTGACATCATCCTTGCAACAGATGAGGTAGATGTAGAGAGAGAGTGGAGATCTTTTCAAGACTAGGTCTCAAGATGGCATGACTGACTTCCTCACTCTAGGATGACATGGCTCTAGGATGACATGATTCCAGGATGGTGTGGCCCCAGGATGGCGTGGTTGACCGGGTTCTCGATGACCCCGAGTAGGTCCAGGTCTCTTCTAGGCCAGACCCAATGGGCTTTGTCTAGGCCGGGTCCACTATCTGAGTTGGACTTGATCTGGGTCGGGCCCATTATCTAAGTTGGGCCTTAGGTTGGGCCCATCATTTACCCCTCATGCCCTGAGCTCAATGATTTTGGGGATAGGGTATTAGTTAATCCAACTACGAATGAACTCTTTTCCTTGACGAAGACTCTTCTTGGATTTTCTTGAGGCTTATTTTTTTCCTTTTTGATATTATTTATCCTTATTCTGATGGGAAATACTCAAGGCCAATCCTACTCTAAGTGGGATACTTAAACACCAATCCAAAAAAGGTAACTGCCAAAGTGAATGGGAACTTCTCAAGTTCAATCCTACTCTAATTAGGATACTTGAATGCCAATCCAACTAGGTAGCTATCAAAGTGGGGCTATAAAAAAGTCTCTCCCCCTTTCTTCCTGTTCCCATCATTGAGAGGATTACACTGAAGAGTAATGCAAGAAAAAGCCAGTGTGAGTGAAGCAGACATGGGAAAGGCAGGTATAGGCATCGTGGTAGTGGCAACGGGTGCAATAGCGTTACGGGTGAGGGAGCTGAGGTGGCGGGAGACGGGGTGGTAGTGATAGCGGCCGCCGCTAGCACAGGTGGTGTTGCACGGGCACTCCGGGTGAGACAGGCATAGGGGGCTTCTGGCGTTGGCACTGCGAGCATGGGTGCCGAAGGCAAAGGTGCAAGAACTGGTCAGGACATGGTCGTGGGTGCTTGGGGCCCCATGGTTGGCATTGGCACTTGGGTAAGTGCAGATATAGGAGTGAGCACAGTGGCCTAGGTGCAAGTGGCAGGTGTTGTAACACAAGCATTCGAGCTAGGTATCAAGAATGAGTTGCCCGCAGATACAGGGACTAGACAGGTGGTGAGAGATGATGGTGGTAGTGCTCATCCTCATCCCCGATGATGCAAGTATCATGGTAAAGTGGCTACTGATGATGGCTCTAATGTGAGCTCTATCTCTAACTCCTTTTTTTTTAGCAGTAGATGACTTTAAATAGGGTTCCCACGTTCTCGCGGTCTGTGGTGCCAGATGCGAGTGGTAGAGGACTTCCAAAGCTTCAGGTTGTCAATGTGTAGGTGCAGGAGGCAAGGGCGCCCAAGGCAAGTAGGAGGAAGTCCGCCAACAAGAGTAGGAGGAGGGACGGCCAGGAGCAAGGCATCAGGAGGGGGTGCCAGGAGGTTGGGTGCTAGAGGTTGGGGCGACGGGAACAGAGGAACTAGTATCTAGGAGTAGGTGCCAGATCCATAGTGTTGGGAGAGCACACATGCCTTTTGTGTGCTAGATGTAAAGCACGGGAGCATTGTGACAACGAGGCGGTGGTGCCGAATGATTGCAAACAGGATGAAGTCCCGATTCTTGGCATTCAATATATTATAGTCCCACAGGCTGCAAGCGGCCTGAGTTTCAAGAGCGTGCCTAGAGATGGAAAAAATAATGTTAATCCAGCATCAAAATATTCAACATGATTACGTGTAGAGAGAGAGACAGACACAACAGGCTGTAGAGAAATAGAGGACACTTGCATGAAAGCAGTGGTAGAGTTTGAGGGTTAGTCGTGGGAGAGCTGCACCTCTTGAGACCGAGCTTCTGGCGACCCACAAAAGAGCTGCCAAGTTGGAGGTAAGTTGACTATAAGGGTGTCTGCACTAGAACAGAGGCAGAGTTTAAGGGTTGCTCGTTAGAGAATTGCACCTCTTAAGACTGATCTTTTTGAGACTCATGAAAGAGTCACGAAGTTGGAGGTAGGTTGACTGTGAGGCTGTTTGCATGAGGCAAAGGTAGAATTGGAGAGTTGCTCGTGAGAAAGTTGCACCTATTGAGACAGAACTTTTGGCGACCCATGAGAGAGTCGCTAAGCTGGAGGTAGGCTAACTGTGAGGTTGCCTACATGAGAGTACTGGTAGAGTTTGAGGGTTAGACCATGGGAGGACCACTAAGCCGGAGGCTCACTCTAATAGATGAAGATAAGGAGGACACTGAGGAGCTGGTCGCCTACAGCCTAGCTCCTAAAAAGTTAGGTGCCTGAGGCCTGGCACCTGAGGGGCTAGGTGCTCGCAGCTTGACACCTAAGAAGTTGGGTGCCTGAGGTGCTGGGGGCCAGGNGCCTAAAAAGCTAGGTGCCTGAGGCCTGGCACCTGAGGGGCTAGGTGCTCGCAGCTTGACACCTAAGAAGTTGGGTGCCTGACGTGCTGGGGGCCAGGGGCGTCTAGGTCCTAGTGCCTAAGGTGCTAGGCCTAGAGGCTAGGCGTTTGAGGAGCTGGGTGCCTAGGCAGGAGCACTGTTCGGCCCCTAGCACCTGGTGCTGAGTCTTCTTGACAATCTCTATCCTCAGGCAATGTGAGCTCAGCCACATATTTTGTTAATGCTTGTGCTTTTGTGGCTTCTTTTTAAGGAATCGGGCACAAGCGGTGATGATGATGACAAGGACTCACCTTGCATGGCTTTGGGGACATCCTTGGTGTTTATGTGTTTCTAAGATTTTGCCCACAATTTTGGCATGTTCTTTGGTGGGCGAATCATCACTGAATAGAGAAAGCTAGATGAGCGTAGGCTTCCCAAGAAAGCGTTCATGGTGGCCTTTTCATCGGGCTCCTTAATTTGGAGGACCTCATTGTTAAAACAAGTGAGATAACTTATCAGACTTTCATCTTAGTCCTACTTGATGCAGAGCAGATGGGTGGCAGGTTTTTGGTGTTGTCGTCTTGCAATGAAATGTGAGACGAAGGACCTACTTAGTTCAGCAAAAGAGCCAATGGAGGCCGGGGTAAGCTTGACAAACCACTGGCAAATAGATCCCTTAAGGGTAGTTGGAAAGACCCTACACATGATCTTGTCAGGAAAGTTGTGTAGCTACATCAAGGACTTGTACATGTCAAGGTGAACCAATGGGTCTTTTGAGCCATCTAAGGTTTCCAACGTTGGTATTTTCAACTTCTAGGGGAGAGGATAATTGGCCATGTCGGCTACAGAGGGCATGTCAGTACNACTTAGACTCCCCTTGTAGTTGTACTTGCTTTTAGTTATCTTTTGGTTGTGGTGGAAACCCTTCAAGAGTAACTAGCTTTCTTTTACTTTTATTGTTTATGTATTTCACTTCCATTGCTTGAGCATCCTTCTTTCTTAGAAGAGTAAAACTCTTCCACTTTTCTAGAGTTTTACCAAAGTCGTGAAGGGTGGAACGTGATTCACTTATTCTTCATTGAAGATAAGCTCTTTGTTTAGTTTGCTTCACTTAGTAGCTCCTCTACTTGGAGGGATGAGTATCATTCACTCTTCTAGCTTTACCAAAGCCATGAAGAATGAGTAGTTCCTCATTCACTCTTTAGTAAGAGGTGATGAATATGTAAANAGGGTAGTTGGAAAGACCCTACACATGATCTTGTCAGGAAAGTTGTGTAGCTACATCAAGGACTTGTACATGTCAAGGTGAACCAATGGGTCTTTTGAGCCATCTAAGGTTTCCAACGTTGGTATTTTCAACTTCTAGGGGAGAGGATAATTGGCCATGTCGGCTACAGAGGGCATGTCAGTACGCCTCAGCAGGTATTCAACGGTTTCAGGTCCTTAGGCCTTCATAACATTGAAGACATCACCTAGTTGGTTTTGTACTTTCTTTATTTTCTCATCCTAGTGATTGGGGAGTCCTTTGGAGAGGTCATTGAAATGGCTTTCATGGTCCACACTCTAGTTTTCCCCCCTCATCTTCTTAGAGAAAAGGACCTCCAATGCGGGAGTAAGGAGCTGGAAGAGGAGGAGGGGCCATCCCATGGCGTTGAGGAGGGCTCCCCCAACGGAGCCTAACAGGCGACTTGGTGGTGGGCGTCCAGTTGGGGACCTCCTTGATGCCCTGGGTGAGGTGCTCCCCTAGCTTGGTGCTCTCTTGGTTGTGCACCTCGTTGCCCAACGAGCATGAACTGAAGGATTTGCTGGTTTTGGCTCACCAACAGCTGCATTGTCTCTAGTAACTTTGTTGTGAGTTAGGAATAGGATTGGTTGGGGGAGGTACGACATCCTCTTTACTTGGTGTATCGTCCTCAAGCTGATTCATGGTTCTGGTGGTGATCACCATAGATACTAAAAAAAGGTGGTTGGGTGAAAAATTTGTCCTTCCCACAGATGGCGTCAAACTTCCGATAGACAAATTGATTTTATACACTACCTGTCGAGTAATTAAGTAGTTTGGTCAAGGTGCCCTACTCCACTACGAAGGACTAGGATGACCTAGATGTTTTATTGCTTTAAGGAGTGTTGGGAGCTCAAGTGTGAGTAATAGGCGAGATACAAAATGTGAGAAATGCCCCCCATGTGTAGATGGGGCTTACAATTTATAGGCGCATTATCAATAACAGAAAGGCTAATTTGGTGGAGTTGGCGTCATCTTCGCAACAAATGAGGCAATTGTAGACAGGGTGTGAAGATCTCCTCAAGATCAGGTCTCAGTATGGCATGACTGACTTCCTCACTCCAGGATGGCGTGGTTGATCGGGTTCTTAGCGAGCCCGACAAGGTCCGAGTCTCTTCTAGACTAGACCCACTAGGCCTTATCTGGCACGGGCCCACGATCTGAGTTGGGCCTAATCTGGGCTAAGCTCATTATCCGAGTTAGGCTTTAGGCTAGGCCCATCACACTCGATTGATTGATAGTGCATAAATTCACTTTTGTGTATCATCAAATCTTAGTTTCATTTATTTCTAACCATTGATTATAAAACTAATAAAATGAAAAAACTTTTTACATGTATTTTATTTCCCCAAAAAAGAAGTAAGATATCAAAAAATACCTAAATTGGAGCCTAAAATTAGTGTTGATCTTTTTTTTTTTTGGTAAATCACTGATCCAACTTTTTCCAAGAAAAAGTGGAAGGTGAGGTGATGGTTTCCCCTCATCCTCCTTAGAGGTCACTAGATATGTGGTGCAAGCAGGGGACGCTACCACTGGCAACAAAATCACTTCTTCTTTTTTGGATAAAAATCATAGTTGTTCCCTGAATTTTGTCTTTAATTTTAATTTTGATGATACCAAGAAAAACTCTAGGTATGAGCTCAGGAGAGGAGCTCAAGTAATGAGCTCGAATTAGGAGGTCAGGCAATAACTAGAGCTCAACGATCCAACAAGTAAGAAAACTGAGACGAGGAGAGTTGGCTGATGAAAGATGTCCTCATAGCAATGGGGAGCTATAATCAAGGCACAGAACACTTAACCAACCAAAGATCTCTCCAAAATCAAGGGAGAACCCATGAATGAAGGGCAAAAATCTCGCTGCAGATCCTGTAGAGATAGGAATTGGACTATAAATATTGTACAGTGCCTCCATTGAGGGGCAGACAACTCTAGTATCGTCAAGAATACTCTGTGAGTCATATCCACCGTGAATAAAGATTAAAGGAGAAGGAGACTCCATTGAAGAGTGGATTAGCCAGGCTCCCAAGCTGGTGAACCACTTTAATTACATTGTGTTAATTCCGCAGATCCCCTTTGAACCTTAGTTGCAACTCTCACGAGCCTTGCAGCTCAAGTCCATAATCCACGAATTTTGTTCATCCCCTTGATTACACCATCAAATTTGGTTTCTGAATTTTTAATTTTCTTAATTTAGTCAATGAGCATATATTTTATTTCAATTAAGTCCTTTCGTTCTTTTCAACAATTAGATCAATGCTGAAATGAATCATATTGGTATAGTTTCTAGTTGATCTAATGGTGGAAATTGATAGAATAACTTAATTAAGACGAAATTGATAGTTGAACAACTAAATTAAAATAATCAGAAGTTCAAGGACCAAATTGAAACTGAAATAAAGTTCAGAGACTAACTACGATTTTTGCTTTTTTTGTGTGTATGTGTGGATTTCAATCTAATTTGATAACCTAATTTTATTATAGTTATTGATTGAAATGTGAGTCCCATTCAAAATTTGAGCTCATAATTAATCTAATAATTATAATGAATTAATTCTCAAAAAACAGTCATGGTTAGTTAGCCATTTGTTTTGTTGCCTTGTTGGATCTAGTTTCTGAAATTGGAACCATTCATCTCTTGATTCCCTCAATTCACTCAGCATTAGATCACTGGATCTATTTAAATATTATGAATTTTCAATTGTATTTATGGTAGGTGATTTAAGATCGAAATAATAGAGGAATGATGCTCGGTTTTGTTTCTTGTTAGTTGTTTCATAATTTCGAGCCCACCGGCCATTTTTCATAAATTCTTGGTTGGGTTCCG